CACACATACCTGTGTGTATGTATATAAGTACATATAGGTTGTATTAGTGTTAACATAACAGGCAGTTTTAAGCATACAGTGCTATTTTTAAATACAGTGTAACATCCTAGCTATGCTTTCTCATTGTGCCTATACATTTAACTGTAGTATTTAGTCATATTTTATTTCAAAATGGCCTCTAAGAGTGTATGTCTTGAGTTTTTCAGGTAATGAAACAAAGAAATTTAAATTTAGAAAAGTATCAGTATTAACTCTAAGATGACAAAAATATGGTCGTAATTACACATTAAAGATAATTTTGAAAGAAGTAGTTAACCAGGTGAGGTTAAACAAGATTAAATGATTTATGGCCATATTATAATATAATGACAGTCTTCATTTTAAGCTACAATGTAAAGTGCTTTATTCTGAGATTAGGTATTGTGGCAGAAGCTAAAACTGCCTTTTTTATAACAGTGCCAGAATACAACCTCTTTTTCTTTTTGCACTAACAAGACTGCTTTACCACCACAGCCCACTCTAAGTAATTAAATCAATCCTTTGTACTTACCGTATTCTCCTCTAGTGACGGTACTAGATCTGATTATATGCTTCATGCATATTCAAAGTACCGCACTGACAGCTCTTTAATGAGCTCTTACTTAATCAGTATGAACAATGTTCATCTTGTTCTTTTTTTCCTCATGCATTAGAGCTAGGAACAGTTGGGAAAAATGAAACATCCAGCATTCATTTGAAAAATATATTGTACTTTGAAAAGTGTCTAAGCTGAGGAAGTTGCATTCTGCCCTTTAAAAGTCTGATGGACAAATTGGATTACTAGTATTGGATTAAATAACAAATGGTTAGGAGAGAAATGAGAAAAGCTCACTGTGATCACAGGCTTTAATATTTTTGTTACTTATAAAGCTAAAGAGGCCTTTAACCAGTTATTAAAGTCAGGATTAATTTGTAATGGTTCAACTTACTGGCTTTTAAAAGCTTTTTAAATTTTAAAAAATGTAAAGCCCTAAAAACAAAAGTATAGTGCTGTGTTATAAGAAACTTTAATTTTTTTATTACTAGGCTACGTATAGATTTCCATCATTGTGTACTACCTCAGATAAGGATTTAATGATAATGATTTCTGTTTTTTTCAATTAATTTAAATAATCTCTGTAGTGATGTGTAATGTGTCTTTAAATATTTATTTTTAGGATTATATCCATTTGAAACATGAGTCTCTTTTATTATTAGTCATTTCCTAACAATTAGGGGAGGAATTTTTGCTTCTTACCTAGAAATCATAGGCATGAGTTAAACTGAAAATAACACAGTACACATCAATATTGTTATACTCAAGGAAGCAGTGTTCCATTGAAGAAAATGATGCTAATTTAAGAGTAGACTGGTTGCTTCTAGTATTGCCTGAAAGTGTCAATTATAGGTTAAGTTAAACTCAAAACAAAGTTTTAATATGTTTATATTTTTAGAAGCCGCTTAGGTTATGAACACAAGAATTAGGCCTTTAATCACATAATAAAATAACATAAAATCTACACCTATTAATATTGCACACATGTGTCATTTCACTGATCAAAAAAGCTTTCACCAGGGTACAATTGGCCTTTTTCCAAATTGCAAGCTTTTTCTCAGCTTTTTCTTTTTACTCTTTCTTCTTTTGTTGCTACCCAGGGATTTGTGCCTATCGCAGCCTGTATCACATGACCAGTGTCAAGACATCACATGGTCCAAAGTGAATACAAAACCAGCTACCCTAAAGGAGAGATTAAAAATACTGTAAAACAATAAAGACTTTTGTTCTGACTCTAAAAGAATCTATCCTGAGTAGGCTTCATACGATTCAGTTTTAACAACATTTAAAGACGGCGCATATCCTCACTGTTCTCCCTAACAATAAATAACAAATATCTGTTTATAAGGATACTTTGAAATCCATGTTTAATTGTTTACACACAGATCAGCTTTTCATATTGTATTTTATACATTTCTTTGAATTTGTATTAATGTGGGAATTAATTATGGTATTACTGTAGTTTATGCAAGCATTACAAAGAATGAAGTAGATATATTTGGATAGCATGACAAATCATAAGCCAATATATATGATATCATTGATGTTAAAGAAACTTGTATGTGTGTATATAAAAAATTATATATGTGTTCCATATACATATCTCTCTGAGTTTGGAAGACAGTATGCTAAACCATCTACTTCTGGAAAAGGGTAAAATTGTTGAAAAGGGGATATGATTTTTAGATAAGTTTTGTCCATAGTATTTAAAACTTAAAATGAACTATCTCACTTAAAAATAAAGTAAAACTTAGAGGATAATAATGTTAATTGGGATATTTAATTTTTTATTAGATATTTAAGTTGACCCTATAAATGCTATAAAGGCATTAGACTGGCAATATTAAACAGTGGCTTAGCAAGCAATAAACCAATCATGGGTGAAATTCAAGGGGGAAAAGTCAAGGATTTGTCAATTTTACCAGCTATAATGTGATGGAAAGGAAAAGAAAAATGTGGGGAAAATTAATATTTTTCTTAACTATAATGTGGCCTACATCTGCATATACTAGCCTGTATTATAATCCTTAATATACTAGCCTTTGTGGATGAGGTGCTAAGTGATACAAATGATGGGAAGAGTATGAGGAGTAGTGAATGTTTCCTGCATGCAGTCAGTAACTTTACAATCCAAAATGCTAGACTTTCTCTTTAATCAAATATTTTTTGAACATTATTTTCATTGTAATGTTTTTTTATTCAGAGTGCTGTAGGTATTTTTTGTAGTCCAGACATTTCCAATACGTTTAATAATTTGTAAGTGGTTTATCCCATGAGGGATGATGCGTTCCAGAAAAATATATAACCATATGTATATATCTAGTTTACTTTTGGGGAGGAGAACAACCACAAAAATGTAAATTGTTATGAGTGAAAGCTTTTATAAAACCTCTGGACTTCTCTGATCTTTCTGCTAGTTTCATGATTCTCATAATGATTTTTTTTTTTTTGAAAAATTGTAACCCTGTGTCTGTCAGCACTGTAAGTTCCTCATTGAAACATAATAGCAAAACAGCCTCTGGGGAGGATTTAAAAGGTGGAGCGTTTTGTTTATGGTACTTAGTGTTAATATGATCTATAGGTATGTTTGAGGGACGAAGATATGTATGCTGAATAATTTCAGCTTTAGAAGATTGGCTTATGAGTTCTTAAATACTTATTTCTTTTTCAAGTCTTTGGATTTTAATCTTAGACGATTATAAATAGTCACATAGTATTGTTATAAGCAGTTCAATATATAGTACTGGAGTAACTAAAACATTTTTATGTTAAAATGACTTGTGCTAAACTATTATTTTGTTTGTGATATGTCTTATAATATGTATCTCTTCCTGAACCATAGGAAGGAACACCGATGAAGAAGAGGCTATGATGCAAGAATGGTTTATGTTAGTTAATAAGAAAAATGCCTTAATAAGAAGAATGAACCAACTCTCTCTTCTGTAAGTACTTAGGACTGTGCTTCTTTTTCTTACAACATTGATAAATCTTTGGCTTTTTATTATTGCTTTCTTATAAAAATTTTCATCTGAACAGTAAGAGTTTGTAAAATAGACACTGAAAAAAGTGCTATGATACAAAAGATCAAGGAATATAAACAATTTTGTGTTTAAGAAATAAATTAATGATGCAGAAAAGGAAGTTTAATTTATATTAAGTGTTAACAGAGAACACTTTGGAAAAATAAAATACATTGAAAATCAAATTCTAAGTTAAAAAATAACTTTATAAAGATAAAAATGCATTTATTATGTACTGATAATGTTAATCCAAAAATTTGGGCTAAGAAATTAATTATTTATTTAAACACAAATGACCTTATTTTATTATAAGAACTCAAGTAGAGACTGTACCAAATGTAAACATTATTAGTTTTTAGCCTTTAGTTCACTATAAGGCTTAAAGCTTGTTCTTTTCTGCTCACTAACAGTTTTCTTGTAGTATGCCACCTAGTGTGGGAATGAGCAGATTTACATGTTTTATTTTGGTGAAAAACTCTAATTTTACAATTTTTGCCATGTGTGAACTTGGTAATAGTTATAATAAAGCATGGAATTTAATTAATTGAGAATCTTTGTTTCTATAGTAAATTCATACCTGTAATACTTTCAGGTTTGTTGTATTCTTTTCACATCAAGTTTAAAGTAAGAGAGTTTATTATGAAGTATGAAAAACATTTTAGAAAATAGCCTTATACCTGGTGCTTAACATATGAATCATTAAAGAATGGGACTGTTTATCCTTAGATTAAAATATACCTCTGTGCCAGTCAGAATTAAAGGAAAAAAGTATTAGCACTAGTAAATATTCAGCTGAGGAATGTTTTAGGTTTGTATATCATTTGTTTACAGTGGCTTAAAGTTAAAGAGAAAAGTCAGTTATGAGTGGTAAAATCATTGTAACCTAAAGGTTCTTGCAAGTGTTTAATGATTTAGTAATTAGCATATTGATGAACTTTTGCAACTTGCCTAGGGAAAAAGAACATGATTTAGAAAGACGGTATGAGCTGCTGAACCGGGAATTGCGGGCAATGCTAGCCATTGAAGGTAAGAAATGCTGTAGTGGGGCGAGGTATGTAGGTGTCACTTGTCAAAGAGATTTAAAGAGTGTAATACACATCTGGTTTTACAAGGTCTGGTCTACTGGGAACATACAGGAATTGTAAATCAATGCCTTGGAGGCAGAAACGTACCCATAAAAATCAAAGGACTCTAATTCTGATAATCATCACGTTTGCTATTAAATACAAAATTGTTATTGTTCTAACTTTTGATTTGGTAAGCCTAAATTTTCTTAAAATATAAGGAGTTGAGTTGATTAGTTTTACACTTTACTTACATGCACTTTAAAGTTATTTACATTGGAAAGGTTTAACAAAGACATCATTTTGATTTTCACCATTAAATTCTAAATTTGGCCATAATATTTGATGTTAACAATGAAATATGGCACTGCCCAGTCTACTCTAGTTTGTAGTATTCCAATTGCTATTAAGTAAATAGGCAAAGATTGGTAAAGATATAAATGGAACACTTTCACATTTTTAATAAAACTTTTAAATAAATTATTTAGTAATTTTATGATGTATAATATCAGTAAACATTAGCTAGCTTAATTAACTATATAGCATTTACTATATATGTTTTTTTTTAATTCCCAGGTGTTTTATAATGCTTTTACATCTCTCAGTTGAAAATGTCTTATAGTGCAAAGATTTCTGCTTAAAAGCTAATCCTTTGGGCTCTATAAAATGGATCTTTTGTCTAATCAATGCAAATTGATTTTGCTATTCTGTATTGACCTCTTAACCCATTGACTGTCCATGGTAATTTTGTTCTTCACCTGATAAGGTACTTGATCCATAATAAGTCAATTCTAATTAGTTCAGAAACAGGAAATTTAAGTTTCCAAGGGAAAGCCAAGTGAAGTCTTATATCCTTAAAATATTTTAATATAATATTGTTGTAAACTATGTGCACTATTTTTCTATATCCTATCTTGTAAGTATAGAAGTTTCAAGTACTTATCATTTGATAAATATCACTGACAACATTTGTCTAAACCTCATTTAGAAACTACTTTAAAAGATTTCAATTAGCTAATTTCCTTCAAATGGCTATCCAAAAGTATCAAATCATGCCATTGATAATGAGTACAAAATATGGTAAAGTTATTTAAGCTGTATGAAATTACTGAAATAAAATGCACAAGTATATTGAACAGTATTTTTCTTCTATGAATTTTGTAGTGAGTTTACTCTAAAAGAGACTGGCAAGCTAAATAGTTGAAAAATAGATGAAACAAATACTATTTATATAGGATATGTGTATATGTAATACACAATGTATGTATATGTAGTATGCATAATATAAAACTCATTGTATAGTATATTCTTTATAGATTCATTATACGTTACACTCAGTATAAAGTAGTCTTTAAATATTTTTTACCTATCCTCTCCTGTACGAAAAGATAAATTGTCCCTAAAATACAATTTGTTACAGTTGACTTTTAGGGGCAGATGACCTAGCTCCAAAACCAGCATTATTCCCAATCTTTAAAAAGCGGCTTTACACATGTAAGATTTCAGTTACATTTGCAAATCTATCCTTATATATAAACTTACAATATTACCTTCTTGTGCGTAAAGATGAGTGGTAAACAATCATATTTTTGAAGAAGAGGGAGAAATATTTTTTATTTTAAAAATACTTTTAGTGCAATTCTTAGTCCTTTGATCAAAAGATTATTTAAAAAATTATATTGTCCATATGTGCCTATACCTCCAATCTCTCTAGCCATTTTCCATTGCTAGTTGAGGGGAAAAAGAGACTTGAGGAAAAGAAGCAGCCTGTTGATTTACAAATAAAGGCATTTTTCTTAGAGAAAGGCCTGTCCCACTAGCCTGGTTAGGACACAGGACATAGACAAAGCTGTCCTGGAGAAGATAGTATCCTCTGAGCCAACCCTTAAAATGGGCATACATGAAGTTCAGTAGCCTCTTGGAGTGTTAAAACACCACAGAAAAATATATGAATAGGCAACACTAGTTGGTTTTGTTTTACTTTCCTTTGTTTTAAAGCTCATTCCTTTTTCTTCTTTCCCTGTGTCTTCTGCTTAACAGTCTTTAGATAGTTTTAGTAATAAATAAATCTTTTCATGTAAATCTGCTGAAACCATTCACCAGGAGAAAAAGATAGAATATTAATAGCCACAGATACTGAAAGAAATATTAACAGCATGATTTGAGAGCAATAATAACTATAATAATCAATACATCTTAGGAGAAACCATAATCACTTTGGCCTGTTTTTTATCCCCTTTTTCTTCCTGAGGTGTTTTCATAGCAGGAGTTTCATTCTACTAAAACTAAATTGTAGGATCCCTCAAGCTGGCAAACATCATTTAGATACTTTTCCTCTATTTTTTTTTCCAGATTATTTAATGCCCCCTCAAGAAAAATAAATTCATTTCTGCACACATTGGGGTGGGCTTTTAGAAGTGGTATGTTCATTTTCTGCACAAGAAATGGATCTTCTCTGGGATTTTGTACATCTTGATTTATTCTTGGCTTAGAGTTTGAAGTGGGTACTCTTCTAAAGGGATTTATGCATAGGTTCACTATTTTTGTAGTTATGGTTTATACGATAAGCTTTTTATATTTAAAATCAATATGTAATCCTGTGGAGGAGCTTATCCCCTAAAACCCCATTTGTAAATCTATTTTAGCTTTGTTACACAGCACAGCCACAGTCTTCCATAGATTGATTAGGTACAGCGGTAGAATCCTATCAAATGGCCTGTTCTGATGATGATGCAAACTCTTTCAGGATTGCTAGTTGACTGGAACTAAAGATAAGACTTGACTGCAATCCCCCAATGTGCTCTTTACAAAACTAGTGTTAATTTTCATCAAAGTGCCAGGGTTATTTATAGTGGCAAGGTTGAAGGTTTACTATAAGAACTTTAGGCCCTTTCTATTTAAGTGTTTATAGGTATTTCTCTTGCCTTTTTTCAAGGTAATTATCAACTTCAGCAACTACACTGAATCAGGGAATGAATAATTGGCCCTGTATATGAAAAAGAAGTTTTTTTAAAATTAACAAGAAAGCTCTGTGCAGATGGACATAAACAGAATCTCTTTATTTCAACACTTTGGCTTAAATGCAGCATCAAAACTTAATCCTATTTGTTGTGAGAGAGGATATGGCTTTTGTAGCAAAAGTACACTGGAATCTTAAAATTAATCAGAATCTACATTGTAGTCTGTCCAAACCAAAAGTCAGTGAAGCTAGCTGCTATAACTGGTGTTATTGGTGAGTGATCCTTTCTTTAAATGCATAACAGGTAAACCATATATTTACATGCATATTTTAAAATAGGACATGTCTAAGTGATACTATTCAAATAAATTTTTAAAATTTAGACTTGATCATACAAATGTAAATCTTTATCAATTTTAAATGTAATATTAAATTTTTAAATGATCAAAATAATTTATTTAATTAGCCTTCAAATACACATAATATGAATATATATATATGAGTATATGATTACATATATCATAATTTATACCCACTATGAGAAGGCAAATACAAGGTAAGTGTATATTTTGTTAATGTAAAAATCTATTCACTACACACAGGTATTTGCTTTCTGACTCATTTTATAACATACTAATGTAGTAGTGATAGACTTCATATAAAAACTTGTATAAATTTATGCTAGAATATTTTAAGTTCTGTTAAACTTGATTCTTAAAATAATGAAAATTTCCTAATTGTTGTTAATTGTGGAATGTTTTTATTCCAACAGGAAATATTATTAGTGATCTAGGAAAAAAATTAAGGTTTTAAAAAGTATTCAACTCTTCAGAGGTTTAAAACATTTCTTTAATCCATATTATTAAAGTCCTAATAATTTCAAAGTTAAAAAAAAATCCTGGTATTTTAAATTACTGATTAAAGCCTTAAAAGGGACTACTCAAGTTCAGATACAAGCTAATTTAATTATTAAAATTATTTGCCTGTTGTTAAATTTTATTTTTGATTTGTTTAATTTTTTTATTTTTAGCTTAATTACATTTTTGTCTGTGGTAGAGAAATTTTATATTCCAGTTGTAAAGCTTTTATCAAAAGGCTAAAGAGTTATAAATGTAAGCCTTTAAACAGAATAGTTTACTAAGGTTAGAAACTGAATAGTTTATTCATCAAAACTGGTAATTCAATAATTATATGATGTAGTCACACATTCTTTATAAATTTAGTAGATATTTTCTGAGTTAATATTTCTAGAACTACAATTATCTGAAATTAGTCTAAATGACCTAAAAGTTCTTTCCAACCTGAAAAGTATCAATTTACCTGCTGTATAGAATAAGACTGGTTTAAGAACAAGAACCAGATTAGAAACATTTCTAACATTTCTGTCATTAGTTGCATTTAAATCCAAAGAGTAAAACTGATAGATATGGCTTTTCTTCAGTTTTGCTTATTATTGAAATTTTTATATTTTTAAAAAACTTTCCATAATGCTTCTTTATTCTTCTCCGTGCTATAGAATACTCCGCTTTTTAAGTAAGACTGTAATAGTGATTAGTTATTTAATGTATTTATTTTTGAGATGTTTTGTATTGAATGTGGATAATTAACATATGACATGTTTCATATATGTATTTATATGTGTGAGCTTATAATGAAAGGAGTAGTGATAAAAATTGAATGAACTCTTCTAGATTTTTACAGCTATTCTAACCTTTATTGCATGATGATGCATCTAATTTTTAATTTGTAAATATAAGAAAGAATTCCCTCTAGCACCATTTGCTTTCATAAAGCTGCTAAGCAGTTTGCTGTCTTGAATAAATTTTGCTTTGGAGGGGGTTGGGGGGGATTTGAACCAGCACATTCTTGTGTGGTTTGTGAAGATTCACATGGTAACCAGCGGTGTGCATTGTTAGGTTTATCTGAATAAGCACCAGCCATGTGAGTTTTAACATGATTGCCCAGGGCAATGGAGAGAGAAGAGAGAAACCCAAAAGGATTGCACTCCTCTCTGTTTTTTGGAAAGTGCATTTGTTGGGGGGAGGGGACTGCAAGAGTCAGTGACCAGGCGTTCTCTTTCTTTTTCTTTTTCTTTTTTCTTTTTTCTTTTTTCTTTTTCTTTTTTTAAGCTGGTGTCCTGTTTCCCTCTAGGTCCTCATTTGTTCTGCTATCTGCCTCATCATCTACTTCTTCTTTTCATTGTTTACCTTCCTAATGAGGGAGGTGGGGTAGACTGGGGGTTGATTGACAGCTACAAGCCCTTACAGTCTGGCCAGAGAGCAGTTGGCTTTGGTTTCAAAAGTGTTTTAAATGTTCGATTTGGTCCGGTTTTTATTAAATGAAACTGCTGCTCATCTTAAGGAAATTATTAGGCTAGCAAAGATTAGGAAATATATTAGTGGGGCCTAAAACCTTCATAAAACAGCACCTACCTATGAAAAAAGCACTGCCCATTGGATTTTCCAACCTCTAACATGAGGTTTCAAAAAGAAATATGTATTTTTTTCTTTTGCAAAAGTGCTTTAATTTAAAACCAACCAGCAAACGTCTCCAAAAGAAAACTGGCTGTGATGTGATCGAGAGCTGCAGTGTAATATTGCAGAGCAAATTTATTTTTTACTTCAAAGAAAAATGCTAATTAGCCGATTCACTACTTTTAAAGTTATTGTGAAGCATATGGCGCCCAGTGTGAGATACATCCAACTGCTAAAATAGAGTGGAGAGGAAATTAGTGAAGAATGGGCTGTTTGGGGTGAGAGTGGGGGTGGGGGAGGAGGGTAGGTTCTCTGGCAGATTCTCTAGCCCTTTCAAAATGATTTTATCGCCATCTCTGTTTCCCGCCTCCTCATTTACCCACACCCCCTTCCCAACCGTTGGGCCAACCTCTTTGGGCCTCCAGGTCCCCTCCCCCACTTTGTTGGATTCAGGTGTGTGCTGGCCATCAGCTCACACACCTGGTCTCTAGCAGGTTCCAGCCCTGCAGCACCCTTCTCCATCTGCAGGAAATATTTACAAAGTAGACTTCTGGGGTAAAGCCTTCATCATGACGGCCAAATGCCCCAGAAAATACTAACTACTGGATCCATTAACATGGTTTGCTGAGAGATGTAAGAAAACTGAAAAAGGCGGGAAGGAGAGGGGGCGGGGGCGAAACATACCGAGTCCCTGCCGTGGGTAACTAGCCTCCTGTGTTCTGCAGACTGGCAGAAGACTGAGGCCCAGAAGCGACGTGAGCAGCTCCTGCTGGATGAGCTGGTGGCCCTGGTAAACAAACGTGACGCGCTCGTCAGGGACCTGGATGCACAGGAGAAGCAGTGAGTGGGTCATGGGGTTAGGGTCCAGGTGTGGCCACAAAGCCAAGAAGTTTGTGAGAAGTTCAATCCTCGGGTCTCCTGGGAGCCAGGGCAGCCTGCAGCTGATCTGGTGCTCTGCATTCCTGCTGAGGACCCAAATGTGGGGCAAGCCTGCTCTGCCCTCTAGGAAGAAAATAATTTTGTTTCCTGTTTGACATCCAGGGCTGAGGAAGAAGATGAGCATTTGGAGCGAACTCTGGAGCAAAACAAAGGCAAGATGGCCAAGAAAGAGGAGAAATGTGTTCTTCAGTAGCATCAGACTGCAATCTCTCCCAGCATTTTAGTCTTGAGGCCCCAGACTAGAAACAGACTCTTTGATTTAAAACTTCTAACATTTACTCGGCTGAATTGTACTTCTGTACCACCACTACCACTTTTCCTCCCTCTTTTCCAGATAATATACAGAACTCCAAAGTAGCTTTAAGGATTTTTTGAGTTATATCATTTTTCGAAATCGTGTGAAATAGACTTGCACAGATACCTTGTGAGTGATTGGTATTGGAGGTTTTCAAGAAACTGTTTTAAAAAATCACTTCCTACATTTTCCCTCAGACAGAAAGAAAATTTCAAACATTTTGTTGTTGTTGTTGTTATTGTTGTTATTCATAGCATAATGACTGTGGGAGGGGGGCAACGAAGGGATAAGAAAAATGATATGAATGATTTTTTTTTCCAGTCCTGCCATATGTAATAATCTGTTACCTAAATCATAGTTAGATCATATTCAATCTACTTATTAAACTGTGTACTATTTACCAGCGGGGTTTTCTGCAGTTGTTTTGCAATTCATTGTAAGGATAATAGGCTTTCTGCTTTCCTTAGAGGTTAGCCCTTTAAGGTAGTCTGAGACAACAGGTCCTGTGGTTTGAAGGTGAGCTGAGGGGATGAGACTAATTGACCTGCGGCAGTTTACAAAGACAGTTTTACCACCTGAGTATGCACCATCTTTTTCTCTGGATAATTATTTATTACATCTTGCTAGATCCCTATATTTTGATAGGTCTCAACATTGGCTCAAGAATGCTGTTAATATTTATTCTGTATTGATAAAAGTGTGTCTTGCCACTATGAGTAAATACCCCGATTAATATTTTCTTCTCTAGCATAGCACTGTCATTTTTTTGTGTGAAAATGGTTATCTGTTTATTTATTACAATACTGAGTCATATATAAATTTTCAATAAAAGCAGAAACTTTCTTACCTTAAACACTGTTGCTGTTTTTCTTGAAATGAAAAGTTGAGTAGAAGTTTGTGCATCCATAAGACTTTTCATGTGAAAATGATCTGGAAGGAAGGATACTGGACTGCATGTGGAACTGAATAAGTTTACAGGATCCCAGAGGAGCCCTGCTGACACACATATGCAAATTGAAAAGTAATTAGTTATATTCTTAAAGATTGTAAACTATTATCTCTTTTGGAAAGGGTCATCTCTTAAAGATTTGAGCAAATGTGTGATTCCACACCACTGGGAAAAAATATTCTTAGGAATTTTTCACATTACTACTTTAAATTGTCACAGTTTTGCTGTTCACGATTTTCCTGTGGAGAACTGTGTCTTCTGATAACCACTAAGTCTGCGGGTATTGAAGTGAAAGGAAGGGGTTGTTTGGGAAAGGTGAGTTGGGGGAGGAGTGTGTGCAGGTATGTGAGATGAGGAAAAGGGGAATTTTAACAAGAATTTCTAGGCCCCAGATAAAACTGGCTGTTCTACAGTAGTTTCCATCACTCCTCTACTGGGGTATCCAAACAAAGAAAGCTCGTTCAACAAGTCCGGAAACTTGGAGAAAACACTAGCTTTTACACTTAAGCCTAGATATAGCTCTCTCTCCCCCCACCCCCCGTTCGAAATGTTTGCTGCCACTTCCAATTGTCACTCTTTAAAAGTGACAAAATTTTGCCACGGTAGAATATCTTCATGACAAGAAAAAATTAAGTTCCTGAAAACTTACTGCAACTAAATGAAATCGACTTTTTGCCCTCTTTATTCGAGCAGGAGAACAACTAGCTGCTGCTCTCCGGGGAAAACTCAGAACCCGCTTTAACCCCTGGGAAACTGGCTGATGGCTGCCTTAAGCAGTCTAGGGTTTGAACGAACCGCAGCCCCCACTCCCTCTATAAACTGGATTCAAGGAACCTTCTGAGGGGCCTCGAGGAAAGGCGACTTTCTTTGCCCCCCCCCCCAGTAGCTCGCGATCTGCCAAGTGACAAACCTTTTAATTTAAAGTCCCAGATTTGCTAGGTTGGTTGGGGGGCCGCTGTACGGCCCCTCACCTTGCCCCTCCTGCTTCAACTTCCAGACTCGCAGGGTTTTGAAATATTTGGGCTACTCCGCGGCGCCTGAACGCCCCTCAGCGGCGGTGGAGTGCGGGTCCCCGGGACTGCCACTTTAGGCCCGCGGCAAGCGAGCCGCGATTCTGCTTCACTGCGAGGTACCCAGGGGCTGGTTCCCCAGAGCGCGGAGAGCCCAGCGCGCCGAGGGACTGGGCGCTTGAAATCCTGGTCTGTGGGATCAAAGACTCTAGGTCTGGGGGTTCGCCAAGGTGCGGGAGCATTGGCGGTGGACGGACCAGTGAAGAACTTTCGTCCCTGATTAAAAACTTCGGGCTCTGAATTTAAATCTATGCCCCTGTCTCCGGTGTTCTCCGGGATTCCAGCCTCGCCTCGAGGTCACCTGGATGCTGGGTCCAGGTCCCAAAGAGTCCCAGGTCCTTTGCCCCGTCCTGGTCTGTGAGCCTTAAGCTTGGAGGCTTCCCCTCGTCCAGCGCGGTGTTCACTTTCCACTCCCTACGCCGCTGCGGTTTGCTGGAGCGGTCGCAGCTTCTGGCCCACAGTTGCCCACCTGGGTTTTTGCCTAGTGAAGGCCGCCTCAATCCTCTGCTCCGCTTTCAAGAAACTTTCATCTCAGTCTCTCGCCTTCTGGATTCACCTCCCTCTCCCCTTAGGTGTCTTTCTTGCCTTAATCCTGGGGTTTAGGAGCTGAGCGTGAAGAAAATTCGCCCAAAATTTGGGATTAGATAAATACCCGGGGCGGGGGGTGGGGGAATCCGTACTACTGGATACCTCCCGACTTCCCCGAGAGTGGAGGCAGCATCTGGAGCCAAGAGCGCCGGACTCCTGCGCGGCGGGCCTTGGGGACCGCGCCGGGCACATTCCAGCGCTCGCGGAGCCCCACTTCGTCTTGCAGGACCCAGGCTGGGTTCTGTGGCTACTAGAAAAACAACCCGCGGAGGCCGGAGTACGAAAGATTACGGGATCCGGCCGGGACAACGGCCCTGGCTCCGGAGGGCCAATCCCGGCTCCCAGCGCGCAGGCCGGGGTTTCTGGCAGTGCCAAATTAAGGACGCGCAGACCGCGCCACCCGGCGCCCCGGGACGTCTGAATACTCTTTCCCGAAACTAGCGCTCCCCAGCTCGCGCCTTTTCCCGGAAAAGGGGACGGAAGGGGATTTCGTTTCCTTCTTTAAACCTCAGCACGATCTCCGTGGCTCCAAGCCACGGGCCGCTGACTACTGGCCTTGTGGGCTACTCCAGGCGGGGGCCTTCGCGAGCCTAAGGTGTGTCCCAGCCTGGGCCAGCGCTGTGCGCTGCGCTGTTTACTTCCCCTCTTAATCGTTTGTGATCTCTCTCTCTCTCTCTCTCTCTCTCTCTCTCTCTCTCTCTCTCTCTCTCTCTCCCCACTCTCTTTTCCTCTCGTTCTTTTATTCTGCTTTCTCTTTCTCTCTCGATTGTGAATGGGCCGCGGTGTCTTTGTTCTAGAGAGAAGCGCCCGTGTCGCTGACTTTTGTGAACCAGAGAAGGATCTTGTAAAACCTCCTTTTCTCCTTCGTAGTCCCCCACTCCCACCCCTCCTTCCCTGCCCCTTTGATTAGATGTTCCCTTGTCGTCCAAAAAAAAAAAATGTAATTTCGTTGGTCTGGCGGCCACTTTCTTTGAACATTAGCTCGCTTTCAGCTCCAACTTCAATTAGAAGGAGTTGATTTTGAGAGATCAACAAAAGAACCGACCAAAGCCTTATTAAAGGTCCTAAGAAGATCTCCCGGGTCCTTTGAGAAGCAGTTAAGGAAACAGTGTGGCCTCCATCATATTCTGTTACCGTATTTTATTCGGACTCCAAAAGAAAGTGTCGCTTGGGGGAAGGGGAAGCACTTTGATGAGTGGCGGCTGCGGCCCCCTTTCACTCAGCGGGCTCCCCTTCCTTCTGCTCCTCACCCAGCGCCCGGTCACTTTGCTGTGCCCGACGCGGCCGGGCAACGCGAGCGCTCCACAAGGAGGTGCGCCCGGCGGCTCTTCGACTCGCCTTCACTCCTGTTCAAACTTTTCGCTCCTCCCGGTGGGGATAGGAGTGGGGGTAGATTAAGAGGAAGGGGTAGAAATTCCTCGAAAGGGAACAAAACCGTGTCTAATATTCATGAAGAGGTGCCATATAAAAGAATTGCCTTGCTCAGGGTTGGGCCGAAAACACTTTTCTTACGCTTTGAAAAGTCCGCACAGGTAAACGTACTTGGCAAGTTTGTTCGACTGAGAAATGGGCTTCGCCAATAGGAACAATCCGGGGAAATCGCCTCGAGGAGGCTCCTTCCTCAGCAGGTGGGAAAGAAATTGAGGGATATGGGTCTGTAACCACATTTTCCACCAGACTGATCCGGGTAGGTGGGGACGTGGAAGGAGAGACAGAAGAGTGTGAAAAAGAGTTTCCTATCAAGATCGCACGACTGCGAAGTAGGGTGTATGTGTGAGAGAAAGGTACGCTGGGGTCCGAAGGTTCAGAAGAAAAGTTTAAGACTTGCAGTCACCCTTGGAGGGGACTCGGAGCCCCTGGAGACGCCGAGCGGGTAAGTGGCGGCGCCTTTCCTGCGGGTGATTTTCCCGGGCGCGGGAGTCCCGGGCGCCGAGGAGGGATCAGCTCCCGCGCTCCGCACCTTAGCCTGCACTGGCACGAGCCGCCCGCGGCGTCGGTCTGCAGGTAGGGTGCAGAGCAAAGAAACGCAGGGGCCCAAGGCGCCGCGAGAGGGGCCGGATCTCCTCCAGCCCTCTGCCCCCAAGTCCTCGCGCCCACATTCTGGCCGGGGAGCCGGTGGCGCGCGGAAGAGAGAAGGAACTGGTTATCCAGGACTTCGCCTCTTCTTTGCCACTCCCTCGGAAGCGCCGAGAAGGCGACAGAAGGGCGGAGGCCCCCAGACAGGCCTCGGGACCCACGGCCCTCTCCACAGCTGGGACTCAGGCGCTCTGTTCGCCCTCCTCGTCTCGCCCAGCTCTGCGCGGAATTTGCCAGCGGAGCCCCAGAGTTAGCGCGCGACCCGGACGGGGTGGGCGGGCGCTGAGGGCGGG